TCGATGGACCAAACAAATGAATAACCTAGACTTTTTACTATCAAATCACGGCATTTGTGAGTAAATTTAATGAAAGTTTTTGAAAAATTAAACAACAGTATGACTTTCATTGACGTTTATTATTTCGGAATATTAAATGGAAATTGATCAAGCCGTCCACATGAACTACCATTGGGCATCTCGAGTGATTTCCAATCTCAAAACGATTTTCAAATATTTTCCCGGAGTGACCAAATATTTTGCGTATATCACATTCCGTAAGCGATAATCAACAAAGGCCTTTTTTTTTCGTTTTCTCTCGCACAAGCACACATATGAACAAGCCAGCACGTTAACGCCGTCCAAATGAAAAAGATTAACATGGACACGCGCTGCCGCGAGTGCGATGGAAAGTTTGCAACAAGCCGCGATCGACCAGGAAAAAAAGAGGCGAGAGCGAGCCTCAAAATTTGCCGGTGTTTACGCTCGAAATTTAGGGCCTCCCTCCCCGAGCTGGACACACACCGGCGTTGCGACAATGTTTGCCGGCAAATAAAAAGTTCCAGTTGGCGTTGAGCGTTGCTCGCGCGTGGAATATCACCCAACTCGCGGGTCACTGATACCGCGCGCGACCGAGTCAGCACGTTACACTTGCGCTAGGCAAGTGCGCGTTCGACGTCAATTGGATGGATGAAACTGGCCGCGAGCTTGCAGCAACCCGACGACGGGTCAATCGGACTGGCAATCGGTTTCGGTTCGACAGCCCACGGCAGTTGGATTCGCTTCCGAGTCGATAACGAAGACCGTCGTTTCTTGCTCGCACTGCCGATTTTTTATGCTTCACGAGACGCTGGTTAGATCGTGTCGGTGCGTTTTGCCAGTCCGTTCCTCCTTTTGTTTTTCAATATTTTTTCGGGAATGCGAATAAACGCGTCACCTCGAGACGGTAGCTCGGAGCTTCACACAACGTTTGCTTTGCCTATCGATTGCATTTGAACACGTGACGGGAATGGCGCTTAGTGGTCTATGGTCAATTTCAACACGTGCCATTAGAATGCAAGCGTATCTCAGGCTTGGTTATCATTTTGAATGTTTCGCATTGTCGACTTGCAGCGTTTGCGTAGGCTGTTTGTTCGTTTAGAAAGGGATTAACGAGTCCCTCTTGAATCATGCGACGAAGCTGTGCGTGCGCGAATCGAAATCAATCCACGTCGGTGAAGAAGACCTATCCAGCAACTGATAACTCCATCTGGTAGAATAGCCCAGCCAATTTTCGCTTAAAGTATGAATATTCCATCGGTTAGAATATTGATGCCAAAATCGATAAAATCGAGTGATCTATACCTTCAATTTCTATATGGCCGTTCGTATAGATGGGTACGCAGATGAATGGACTTTGATTGAGCTTACGAGTAGCAGTTTTATAACGTAAACTTGATTAATAGCTGCTCCTTTAACGAACGATCTTTCGCTTTGCGTGCACGTAGCTTGAAGGAAAAAACTTGATATAAATTGCCTCGTAGTATTGATAAATTTGAGGCGTTCAGTAGCAGCGACCGTTCGTCATTCGCCTTACTATTCTTTTGCGTATCTTTCGAAAATTACGCTAAAATTAATGGAGCTTTCGTTATTTCAAATCCTCGATCGCGGACCGGACCGTCGCGGCGATGCTCCGCGCCACGGGAAAGGCTAATAACGTCGGCTGTCGGAGAAGAACGGTTAATCAGTGCCTGCTCGCACGCGAGTGCCAATTGACGTCTTTACTCGAAGCGCCTGAGACAGATATCGCGAGAGAACGAGCGTCCGCGATAAACGAGGAGATCAAAGTCTTAACCGTTATATTTAGGGACTTTGCTCTCTCCCCCCTTTCTCTCTCTCTCTCTCTCTCTCTCTCTCTCTCTCTCTCCCGCTTACGCATTGCCGTAACCGATAAAGAAAAAAAAAGAGAAAAAAGAAAAAGCTCGTTTCGGCCGATGATCATGCCGATGATTGTGGTGCGACGCGTGCACACACAATTTGCCAGCCGCCACGGTCAATCAACTTGCCCGATTATTTTCAATTTTTTGTTTCTCTCTTTCTCCCAGCCGGCTAATGTCACTGCGAGCGAGGGATCGCGTCACTCTTAACCGCTGGATTCGACTCGATTCCGGTGGTTGTCCTCTCGACTGCTCCCGGCTTACGGACTCGCTTGCGATCAATCTCATCGGCTGAAAAATACTCGCAAAGTATATATTATGCCGCGACCACGCGAAATGCGCATTGATATGCGTAGTGTTACAAGATCGCAGCCACACGCGCCACGTAGGAAAAGAAGCGCCGAACCGAGTGGGAAGTACGCGCGAAAAAGCAAACACTCGGAGATGTATTTATCATCCCAGTTTTTCACTGGAAAGCCGCCACTGGAAGGTCAATGTGCAAATCCTCGACGAGCTTGAAGGATCGCTCCAACGCGAAGAGCAAGCGATCGCCGGTCAAATGTCGCCGACGGCTTCTTTGCCAACGGGGCTCGCCTCGCTATCGCACAATCATAAACGTAAGCGACTTTGGCCGCGGGGATCGAAAAGTTTGGCCGTTGCATCACTTGCCTTCGACTGATTCCCGACCAGTCGGAAGCGAGGGAAGGATCGGATTCGCTCGATAATTTATTGCGGAGACGCGCGCAGAGCTCGCCATCAATATTTGCACGAAAGTCGGTGATCCGATTGCCAGCGAAAACCAGTGCAGCCCCCGCTCCGGTCGACAATCGCGCAGCCGCGAACGATGTTGCCGACACTGCCGCAATAGGGTAACGCTGTCGATAGCACGCGCACGCAATTAAATTATGACGTCAACTGGTTAGAAAGTGTCCGCGTAGAGACGCGATTGACAATTTCACCTCGCAGCGAGAGGAGAGAGAGAGAGAGAAGTCGCTCTAACGAGTTTGGCCGTGCGCGGACAGATGCAAAATTCGCATCGACGATTCGCGCGGCATAATCCAACGACGGATACTTTCACTAAAAAAAGGAACGTCCGGCGTATTCGTTACGTGTCGACGAATCGGTTGCAAAACAGGTGACTTGGCCTAGGCTTAGGCCCGAACGAAACTTGCAAGGAGAGCAGCGAGAAACGCGAAGCAGCAAGCGTGGGAACGGAGAAGACAGCGAAGACAGGGCAGAACAACGTCTTCCGCGACGAGGCGAAACCGCGGACAAGAAGCGATCTTCGCGTCGGAGGCAAAGGGGTCGGCGGGACAGCGCGCAGCTCGGCCGATGGTGGCCGCGCGCGACGAGAGCGCTCGTCGGCGGAAGGGTGTAGCGCGCGCGGCTCCGCGCGGCTCCGCGCGGCTCCGCGTGGCCCGGTTAGCCGCGGCGCGCGCGCGCGCGAAGCGAGGCGAGAGAGCTCGTCGTGTGGTATGCCACTCCGGAGGTCAGCATTGACGCAAATCCACTCGACGTCACGTGGTACGGCACGCACTCGCACGCCGCGCCGCGCTCCGACCGAATATCTCTCTCGCCGCGCCGTGTGCGTGTGCGCCCGTGCGCGCGTGTGCGCGTGTGCCTGCATTGCTTATCCCGTACTCGATTGACGCTTTATATTGCAGGACGCTTCGCGCATTCGACAAGAAAACCTCCGCGATGGCTTCTCCTGTTTTTGCCGCCGCCGCCTCGCGATGATGACTCTACTGGAAACATAACGCGCCGCGAGCGAATTGCGGCGTGGCCTGACGAGCATGTATATCTGCTAAATTATCGCCTTCTCTTCTTTTTTAAATCGTTGATGGCACTCTTTTACCTTCGTTCTATTTTCTTTATTGTTTGGGCTAGCGAACCAATACTATTTTCAATTTTTCATTTTTCCTATGCTTCTTTGTGACGGTTTGCCTCATCGTAGATTCGAGCACTTGTAACTTTAGCTTGATATTTTCGCTATTGATTTAGGCAAACTCAAGTATCTCCCTTGTAAAGCGACCTGGACTGATAAAGTTGCACATCGACAGAGGTACTTTGGCTTTCTTATATGCATCGAAAAACGAGTATTGTTTGCGTTTGAATAAAATAAGGTTTTGACTATTGTCAAGCTGGGCCTTAAAAAACGAAAGGATATGTCGAAGAATCGCCGCTTTAAAAACGCATATAACGAAAGAATCGCGCCTATTGCACGCTTTCCCGATAAAATCGCCGTAATGCGTACCTCGCGCGCACATCCGGCCCGACGGCAAGAGGGCACACGTCTCTCTGGGAGCACGTTCCCAATGGCCAAACGGCGAGCTATCGTAGCTGGGACTGGCGCACGGAGATCAAACGCGTTCCGCGCGTGGAATAGGCAAACGATCGTTCGTTAATTCCAGACCGCGCGCCGAAGCAGCAGTTCTCCGACGAAAGGCCCGATATAGCATTCTCGAGCGGCGATAATAGCGCGCGTCGCCCGTGTGCCACTTCCTTCGCTCCGATGCTCGATCGAGGGGAGATGCCCGCGTACACTCTCACGCCTACGATTCTACATCGGCGGACCATTGGAAAATATCGCGCTCATCGCTCGTCAACAATTATGCATCGATGCTCGCGCGTAAATAAGGACGGCAATTGTGATCGCGCGTCGCTGCGCCGGCGCAGCGCAGCCCACCAGTTTTATTCCAACTCGCGCGTAGAGCCTCGCTCCACCCTTTTTACTTCCTTGTCGACTGGTTTTCCTTGAGGCGATCGAAAAATTGGGCACGCGCGTCATCGGTGTACGTAATTGACAAAGGACGCACTCATTAGAATCCTACGAGATATTTACAGACTCCGAGCCGTGATCGCGTACGACTTATAATGTACACGTCGAGTTGACCGGAGGCATGGAAGCATGCGTTCTTCATCGCAACCGCTTTTCAATTGAATACAAAAGAGCGCGCGCCGTCTAGGATCGATGCGTGCGTATATAGTATCGCCCGTTATTCGATCGACGCAAGTGTCAATTCTTGGCTAACTGATGCGACATGTACATACATGGTCTACATGCTCTAATTATCGGGATACTTTAAAAGTCAAGGTCGTTCCAGTCTTACTTTACTTTTATTATTCTGCAGGCATACAAATGTACAAAGATCTTTACAAAAATACTTGGTCGTGCACAAAAAAAGCTTCGTGTAGCGGCAGTTCAATAAATATACACACAGTGTCGACGCTTTAAGCTACGCTATAAATTGATTTCATTTACGAACGGACGACAATTTACCTACCGCGAGTTTATTTACAAATAATTCTACGTAATCTGCTCGCTAGTGAGACATAATCTCGTGTACGTACTCTAGCATTGCAACGAGCTCTTGCTCTTCGGCAGCGTTGTCCTGCTGTATAGACAAACGGCTAAGGACCGTTTGTATGGCATGTGGAAAGCCAGCGTTGCGGGCGATGAGCTTGCCCTTCTGGTTATTGCTAATGAGCGACCACAGAGTCGATCCGGCGACTTCGATCTCCGTCACCGTGCCTTCTTTCAACGACGAAAGCAGCAACTCAAGGAACTCGCCTGCGAATTCATTGTCCTCGTTATGATTTTGCGTTGCGTAACGCACACGGGGCATTATTAGATCTATTGTCACGTTGCTTACAAATTTTTCATTCAATTGAAGCGGATTCGTGAGCGCGCGGAAATGAGGAAAGTTTTTTTTTTCTTTTTACATTAATTAATTGGAGAATGATTTACGAACGAGGAAAGTACTTACTGGAACCTAAGAGCCTTGGTCGATTGGTCGAGTTGAACGCCAAGTTGCGCAGGATCGAAATAGCCAAAAGTCTTGGGGAACCGGTCGATAGCCGAGCTAGATTTATCAGCACTTCCAAGCTGTCCACCGCCTATGCGTGCGACAACAAAATATACAATTCCTGCTTTTGCTTTTTTAATGACTAATTCATATTTATAGATTAAATGTGTGACCCACTGTTTTTCAATTTTTTCAAACATTTTTCAACCCGTAAAGAGTTGGAAAATGTCGAGTTTTTTTTTAATCGTATATACTCGTGCGACAAGATAAGATTAATCTTTTAATTAACTCTATCCTTTAGAATGCGAGTGTTCCAGTTGAAATATCAAATCCGACAATTTTATTTTTCCAAGATAAACAGTCTGTTAATGAATGGTTGTAAATACGCAAAATATGTATCCAATTTAAATGTACCTTGGAAACGGCCAGTTGGCCTTCGTCGTAAAATGTGAAATCTATCAGGAATTCTAAGCAGTTTATCTCTACTATTTGCCAAAGCTTTGTGCGTTTCGTTGTCGATGGATGAATCTTCGTGAAGAATTGTAGTAGATTGCTCTGTACAAAGAGAAAATTTTTTCTTTACGATTGTCATGCGTATGAATCAGACGCAGATCGACGGAACAACAATAATTACTCGTGAACAAATTACTACCTTCGAGATAACAACGCGACATTCGTGACTGTGAATGGCATTTCGTAGAATTTGAAACGCAAAGTTGAGTTTCTGGCAGTCGGAATTGCGATTAATTACGTCGAGCTCCTTGGCAACCATTTGCATTATTACATGGATCAACGAGAGGGAATTTGGCGTTTTTCTAAGACCCACACCTGGCGTCACAGTCGTCAAGCACAATGAATGAGACGCTGCAATAAGAACAAAGAAAAAAACGATAACCGTTGTCAGCTGTTTCACTTTTTACTCGGAGTTATGAAATAGTTTCTTTTTTGCGGCAAAGTAGACAAAGACTGTAATTTGAACGAAACGATTTGCCAAAACCAATGATAGTTGCAAATTTGTTCTCTTATATACTTTCTCTTAGAGCAAAAAAGTATAAAGATTTATTCTCGCAGATCACTTACCTTCCACGCAATTCGTTGTAAACGTTGATAATAATTTCAAATTGGTAATGAGCGTTTTCTTGTTAACCGAGGTGTGAGCCCATAGTTTGTGAATGATGTCAGCCAATTCAATCGCAGCAAAAATGTTTTTAGCCTCAACGCTATCGTACATGAAGTTCATTAGCAGTATGTAAATCAAATCAATCTCGTGTAACAAAGGATGCAGCTGAAATAAAAAAGAAGCGTTGATAAAACACATTGGAATGTCAACGACCACCTGTACTCGACAAACAAAAGTGTTGGAAAACCCGCAGCCGAACTAATCAAATAATAGATCTCGTCAATAGATTTAGAGCTACAAAAAAGAAAAAAGAATACCTTGTGCGTGCGATCAGCTTGCGATTTGTATTTATGTATCGGTATAGCATTTAGTCTGATGTACAATTCCTTCAGCACCATCATGCAAGTCGTTGGAAAATTTTCGCCGATCGCGAATTTTTTCGCCTCAACGGATACGCAAAGTAAATTGGTGAGTGCAACGGTGATGACATCTTTGTCGCTTGAATATTTAGTTTTCTTGACGAGTTTGACGTAATTGTGAGCAATGAACAGATTCACGAGCGCTTTGCAGATTTCAGCGCCCAAACAAGATTCATCCATTGTCGTCGAGTTTACATTCTGGTCAATCAGATTTTCAGCGCTCAATTTTTTCACTCCCCAATTACCATTTGATTCAGTGTCTATTCTAGAATCCAGCACTTCTTTCAAAGGACTAATTTTAGTCTCTTCGCAGTCGTTTTGGATCTCTTGAGATAGAAGAAAAGCGAAGAAACTCGCCGCGCTCATACCGAGATCAGTTTTGGAAGTTTTCACCATTTCACAAATGGTCTTTACAAGAGCTTGCGTGTTACAACTTGTCAGTGCTACTTGAAACGAGTCAAAATGTTGATTTTCGGTCAGAGATAACGACGTCAAGAATTTCAAAATTTCAGCGCTCAATCGATTTCTTAAGTAAACCAATCTGTTATTAATCGCGACTATAAACAAATGGTGTATTTTTATTAATTATCAATAAAAAATGCACGGGTTTTAATTTTTTTCAAAAAACAAACTCACAGTATAAATCTTTGTTTAACATGTTGAGCAAATGTCGTAGAAATTCTGGTGAGAAAGTAACTATCGATGCAAAATCAGGACTATTGATAACGCAGTTCGTAAGCACTGCGCACAAGCTGGTATACATTTCCAAAACATTGCCGTAATGTTCGACTTTTCTTTCGCCATTGATATTCTTCGGAATTTCCCCGAAACACCTACTCATTAAAAAAAAAGGCGCATAATAGCTCACTCATAACTCGCACAAGTAGGGCAAATGTGTCATTGTAAAGATGAGCATACCCAACGATGTGCTTGTAGAGCGAATGCTCGAAAATCTCATGAATGACTTCGTGTTCGCCAATGCCAATGAGATTATTGAGCAGCATGCATAGAGCCGTAATCAAAGTCGGAGTTGTGATAAACTCCAGCTGATCATCGGTCATATCAGAGTTCCCAGCGGAATCTATAAATAATTTCAAGATCTGTCAATCACTGATGTCAATTTCGACTTTGAGAATCGCAGCTCGTTTATTAACGACCGGTTCAACGCGCAATCGAAGTGAAAAACGGACAAATAAGAAATTACTCACAGCCCTGAAAGTTGTCTCCGCAGTCGTATAGATAATATACAATCTTGGGTACCATCGACACCGTCGTACTTGTACGGCTACTCGTTAAACTTTGTGTTTGTATATCCTCATCGGATTCCGTCATATCGGACACATCAGGATCGAGGGTACTTGACATGTACAAATTAGAAAACATCACAGCGATCTCATGATAAACGTTGTTGTCTGTCACGTAAGACAGCATGACACTCGGCTTGAACTCGTCGACCTGCAAACAACGCAAAAATCAAAGATTCATTAAGACAAAATTACGATGAGTATCGAACCGACGTGCGCTGCCGAATGCAATTCGGAAAACGCGTGGTCGAGATTTGCTTTTGTCGGCACGCGGACGAAACTCCTTCGACTATACTCACATATTGAAAGACAATCGCGTTTGAATTCTTGATGAGGTTGGACATTGCCAAACAAGCTTCTTCCTTTACTATGCAAGATTCCTCCTGCGCGGTGATGAAGTACAACAACGAGTGACATAGCTCCACGGGAGATAAATCGATCGCTGTCAACAATTGCAACGCCGTATGTGGTCCATTGATGAGGCTTGCTAGCAATTGCAATGATGATGCGCGAACTAAGGGATCGCGGCTTCGCCAGAGAACTGGCACGAAGCTTAATGATTGTTCCTTGTCGTACCAAAACTTCGTCCACACCTAAGCCATAATAATGAAATGAGTGAGATGGTCGTTTTATTTGTTTAGGTTGAGTATTTAGGAATGCCGACGTTTTTGTGCAAATGAATTTGCATTTGATGAAGAACGTGGTTGAGACAAATGATGCAATCTCTCGTGATTGTCAAACCCATGAAACTAGCACTTCCTTCTTGGCTGAACGAAAAAATGAGCTCAATCAAAGCGTTGCCAGTAGATAGCAGCGTTTCTTCATTACCTTTCCACTGACATTTGCTAATTACGTAAGTTAACGTAGATAAGACCCATGCCAAAAATGCTACAAATGAAAAGATTGAATTAAGCTCACATCAATCTTACGTGGAATCGAAATTAATCGAGGAAAAAGATTCACCCAAATTGTAATAATCCCCGAAAAACAAATTTGAAACAGTAAACTCGATAAAGCTGATCCAAGAGCTTCTCGAGTCGTCGTTATCCTCATCATCGATCATTGAACAAGCGCGCGTCAATCTGAGCATCGATTGATAAATGTCTTCACTGCCACTCTCAGTATTGCGAATCCATTCCGTTAATGACTTCATCATATTTTTTACAGCCTTGCACAACCACTTTGATTCTTCTAAAAATGCATTTATAATCGCGCATTAATTGGTTAATTGAGCGAAGGAAATTTGCGAAAATCTGAAGCATTATGTATTTACCTCCGTGAGTCACTTTTACATATAGATGTAGAAAATTAAGAACGTTGACGAACAGTTCATAATCCTCTTTACAAGTAGGATATGAGTGTAAAAAACGTTCGAATGTGTCAGACCAAGAAAGTTGTATTATATTTTCCAGATTTTCATCATTTATTAAGTGACATAATTTCATATATCTGTGAAAAAAAGCAAATATGAGATGTTCAAATCAATATAATATTGTTATGCTTTAATGTGTCGTAATTGATTCCTTACATGGTGAGGTAATCTATTGCACAAGAAACTCCATTGTGTGTAATCGAGTTTTGAATATTGTACAACTGTTGTTGCATGCAATAATGCAGTGAAGTGTTAACTATGCAGGCGAGCTCTGATTCTTTGATTATCAGAGTTACAGAAATCATAGGATCATTAATTTCCTGCCACTTTTTCCACAAGATTTTTTTGCCCTCGTTCCATTCCCAGGCCCAAAACTGACGGACAAAAGTCGAAGCCACAGGATTGTTTCGGTGTAAGACTGTGAAAATAGTTACTGTTTGCATTCACCTGAAATTATTAAAAATCTTCATTGTCTTACCTGAAACATCCGATCGTTTATGGACGCTTGTTTTCCAATGGACTTTACATGTAAACGGAAGTTTCATGTTGACTGTGATGATGTAAGGCAGTGAAATATTGTAAGGATTATTTAAAGATTTCTCTGTGAGCTTCATAATATAACTATTATACAAAAGTAGAGATAACAATTGTGCAGCGTCTGTTTTAACACTCTCATTGTTGGGATATAAAAATAGACCTGAAATGATTCATTTCACTTCAAATTTCAATTTCAAATAGTTTAATTTCATCTACATAAAACTTACTTCTCAGTATATTGAAATATACATCAATACGGTTTGACAATTCAATTCTAACTGAGGTTTCGTTTGAAACAAGCAGCTTCAAAATTGTTACAACAGATATTACTGAATCAGGATAATTGATAAAGTCTTTCTCTAACTAAAACATAATTTTCATATAGTAATTATAATTAAATCAATCAAAATAATAAATGTGAACAATTTACCAAGGCTTTCGAGAAGATATCTAAAATTAATGGTAACCCATTTTGTGAAATGAATACTTTATGCAATGAAATATCAGTCAACATTACACTAAGTTGTACTAATGCCGACTTTCTAATTTTAGGCTCGATATTGGAAGACTCTAACATTTCGAGTACTGAAATCAGTGCGCTCCTCTGGAAAAAAGTGCAAAGTACATAAAGACAAAGCGCAAGAAATGAACAATATAATAGGAATCGAATAAATGATACGTTAACGTACTTGGTAATTTCCCTCTGGTCGTCTAGCGGACGTTTGCTTCTCAAACACACAAAGTGAATTAAGAGGTAAACCGTGTAATGACGAGAGTCGTGGTAACTTTTGCGACGAATTTTTCTCTTGTGCGAGTAACCATAATATTCTATATAAAGCTTCGTCTCTTACTTCAACGTGTGGAGAAAAAAGCAGTCTTGTGTTACCTTTTAGTACCTTGAATATATATATATATATATATATATATATATATATATATATATATATATATATATATATATAATACATTAATACAACAAATCTATTTGAATTAATTATAATTGTGTAATATATACTTCTATGTAAGGAAGTTTGAAAGAAGAAGAGTAGTCAGGATTCAACATTTTTGTAATAGATTTCCCTAAGGAAGATATAGGATGTGCGAGGCATTGTAAAAGAGGTAGAACTGGAATAAGCGTTTCCAAAAATTTCATCCATCCTGAGTCAGTCATTTGAGCTTTACCGTTTAATAAGAAAAATAGTATATCTTGCGACATATTGCTTATCTGGAAAAATAAAATCATTTAATAATAAAAAATTTTACTACTTGATTAATTTTTTACCTAAAAGTTATTTAAGTGAAATATCTGAATACCTTTTCATTTTCGTGTGTCATTCCATGACAAATAATTTCTGTTAAAATACTGGTTTCTATCAAAAATAGTATGTTTTTCCAAGTATATCTACTACCGTAATTATTTCCTAAAATTGCTTTTACCAAAGCATGGCATTCGGTATAAATTGCCTCTTGTATATCATCATCACTATGTGCAAGAAGAGAAAGTGTTATTTTTAATGTAGTTTCTACATCTTCTTCGCTAAGACTATAGCTTTAAAATAAATAATAAAAATGTATTAACATATTCCTACTAACCGATAAATCTGTTAAGTAAGATTTAAAGTTGCACTTTAAATTGTATCCTTACCCTGGTCGATTTTGGGCCAAAGCAATGAATTTTTTAATCAATTTAAAATTTTTGTGATAAATCAAACTAAGTTTTGACGCATGAATTGCTTTTAATTCTTCTGAATACGACTTCTCATTGACAGATTTCATCAAAGAAATAGCAGCTTTCATAGATTTAGTTATCAAGCGCGTTTCATCTAACAATTTGACCACGTCACATTCTTGAGGGCCGCGAAATCTCTAAAATAAAAATAAAAAATGTTTAATAATTAGATTTATTTACTAAAGTAAATAAAATATTTCCTAATTACCCTTGCATATTCCTGCAAAGTTGCATGAAGTGGTTGATACATTAAATAGACAGGAGCATCCATAATTGCAGCACATAGAGACACTTTCATTCTTTTTGGTATCACTTGATCAGCCAATTCTAAAGGTATGATATTACTGAGCATTTTAACTGTTATCCATAAAAAGTATAAATATGTTGCTCTATAATAATCTACATTGTTGAACTGTCCAAAGTAATCTAATATTTCACTTAATATTTCCAGCAATACTTTGACGTTTTCATGAATTTTCAAAGCAACGTTATCATTGCAAAACCACACAGTGGGCATTACACTAGTTATAAGTAATTGAACAAGTTCATATACCAAATCGGCTATATAACGAACAATTTTTAATGGACGTATCGAGTCATTTGAAATGCTTATCAGCTTTAGTACAGTCACAAGAGCTTCAGTACAAAAATTAGGTATGAACAATTGTTGTAACTGCAGTACTGAATCATCTACATTATCTACCAAACTAGAATTTCGATTTCTTTGTCTCTGAAAAATATTGAAATTAAAAAATAAAATAAATTTCAAAAAAAGTTTGTTTACAAAAAATATATTTTACCCTTGGTTGATGTTTTTGATAAACTTCCTCAGGTTGCTCTCCTTCAGGACTATCTCTTTGATGTAAAATTTCACTATTTAAAATTTGAATATTTCTGGCCAATATCTAATTATAAATTCAAAATTGTATTCTAATTCTAATATATTGTAAAATATTGCAATAATTATCGTTTGTAATTTTACCTTTTGGGCTTTATGTGCAATGCTTGGATCACAGTAATAATATATGCGAAACCTCAATGATCGTGCAAGTTTGTAAAGAGTTTTCAGAATAGTAATAATAAGAGTTTGTGGTTCTAAATCATTTTCATTTTTAGAAGACTGCAAAAGAGCTAACAGCATCTGAAAAATTTATTAATTTGAAAATTGACTACAACAAATCCATTACCAACAGAATACAATTTTTACAAACATACATTTATAGTGGTTGGCCTTTGCAGAAAAACTTCAGCTGGAAAATCTTGCACCATGATATTGGTAATGAATTGACAAGTTTGGATTTTTGTAGCATTATCTTCTGACCTGCTTAATGTTTCCTCAACAGAAGATAATACCCCTTTGTCTGTTGTAACTAGCACTTGCCAGGGCATAACTAGCCATTTAACACTACTTTCTGATCTTCTTGGTATTACTGCATTGTCTTTTTCATTAATTGTCAACTCAAATGGAACTGAACTAAATATAATAAATTTCATTGTGTTACGAATATTATTATCCTGTTAAATACATCAAATAGTATTTATTCATACCCATCCAAAGGAGATCCAAAACTGTGTATATCTGAAGAGCTCTCGCTACATTGTTGATGATGACAAGACTGAATATTGTTTTTCACAGATTCTGATAAAACAGCAGGTGTATCCTACAAACATTTTTAATTATGAATCAGTAATCTTTATTACAATGTAAAATTATTCATACTTACTGCAAAATTGTCAATGTATCTTCCAGGATCTGAAGCTATTTGTTCCAATAAATTTAACTTGTCATGCCATTTACAATCTAATTTACGTCTCAAATCTTTTAATTCAGTGTGAAATCTCATTCGTCCAAAAGAATTGATATAACTGCCTCTATCAGTCTATCACAAATAATAAATGATGTAATTTAAGAATCAATTTTAATTATCAATAAATATTTACTTTAAAAAATTTACTTTGATTAGTTTGATTATTAAGTCTAAAACTGTTTCTTCCTCGATGACTGGTTCAGTAGAAAACCATCTAAAAAGTTTAACCAGCAGTTCTTTTTTAACAGCATTGCAGTCACATTCAAAACCAAGTTCTAATTTAGAAATAATATTTTTTAACGCCCTCAGACGAATTTCCACAAGAGAATGATCTGATAAAGAAATAGAGAATATTTTCACGGTGAACATAAACATTCTTTTAATATTCTAATATAAAGAAAATAATAACGTCAAAAAAGCCAATTCAACATACCAAGTTTTCTAATATGAGCATTCGTTATTGCACTCATGGTAGATATTTTTTAAAAATAAAATCTTTGTTTAATTATGCTAGCATTATAGAACATATTTATATGCGGGTTACAACCTAACTTTTAAAAAAGACGAAAACTGATGTTCAAAATGTAATACTATTTTTTATGAACACGTTTGTACGGTTTTTACAAATGATGTTGCGACTTTATCATTGGTGATACTTAACTTTATCGATGCACAAATTCTGGACAATATCCATGGCCGACTAATGATAACAATAAAGGCGCGCTTTTTCCAACAGCGACGCTATCATGGAGACTGCATAGATATATCTCCATGTTGCGTGCATGGACGCTATATATCTGATCATATAAGTTTGGTTAGGTAAGCGTCCAAGTATTCTCTCGCGACCCAATATTAAAAATGCAAAAATTGGTATTTGAAAACAAAAAATAGCATATAGGGTATAAAACATAATATGAGGTTCATCATTTTTCAACTCGATCGCTGCAAGCGAACCTTGTGCAAAAAAATTAGCAAATTTGCAAAAACTGGTTTTGTGAGAATATTTTAAAAACTATTGTTTCGATCGAAAATTGTTAAACGAGAAAGTTGTAAGTATTGGAAAGACCTATAGATTGACATATTAATGTACTTATATGTTTGGTAATTATATGAATCATATTTAAAAAACTAGTAAATAGCGAGCTCTTCGTAACTTGTTAATATTTATCCGCTCTGTAATTATTATTTAGTATAAACATGGCTTTTAATAAATAAAAAAATGCTTATTTGACAATTAAAAAAATATTAATTATTTATTAAGATATAAAAATGTTGGCAAAATAACGCTCTAGCAAAATGGATACTCTTAGGTTGGAGATCCCACATTAACGATAATCAGCTTATTTTCTTCATTAAAAGTTGTACTATTATTGAAAACCTTTCGTAGATATAATCTTTCAAAGTATTTAAAAGTTAACGCAAAAAAGTTGCACTCACTTCGCGGACATGTTGCATTTTAATAACCATTTCAATTTTTATATTACCTGATTTCAGTATGGCATAGTATTACATAGTATTACTCGTATTTTTTCACACATTTAATAAAGAAAATTGTTGCTATGATCATTTGTAGCCGAGATAATTTTTTTATTTAACAAATATTTAATAACCTTGTTTAACAATTTACCGGTCAGTACTCGGTAAGAAATTAGCAAGTAAGTAATAAAAAAATATCCAAATAGATTTCATTTATTTCTAATGTCAGCAATCGCTTCATAAATAAAGTTTATACTATGTAGCTTGTGCGGCTGCGGACGTCGCCTGCTCATACTGGAAAACTTTGAATAGCGCTCTAAATGCCTGGCGCTTGTAAAAGTTTTCATATCTGGACTTCTACATCACGTAAAAAAATCGTTTTATACTCAAACTGGGGTGCCTCGGCGGGATTAAGACAAATTTGATAATTGACTCCAAGAAGTCGTAAAATTTTAATATTTATCAAATAATTTTGTTTTAATTTCATGAAGCTACAGTTACTATTTGTAATTTTATAATTAATTTTTATTTATACTTACAGTAAAATAGTAATTTAGATGCATAATAAAAGAATATGATTCATGTGGATGACTTTGAAATGTATTTATCAATCAAGACATGTATCGTACATTAAAGTATCTATAAAATCTAATTAAAATCTAGATCGTATAAGTACATACACGTTTAAGACAAATGTTTAAAGGGATGTAGTTCCCATTCTTTTCATTAGAATATCAGGTTTTCATTCTTAATGCTCATTATTATAACTATAATTTTCTTCTATGATTTGGTTCTACGAGTCTGATGAGATACTTTCGTCTAATAATAATGCAGGGTCATTTATTTTAACGATAGAACAGCATTCAAAATTATTACATTGCGTTAAGTCACAAATGTCTACATATAGTTATACATTTTAGATTATTTTTTCTACAACTACATAACTTTAATTGACATCCAGTCGCGTAACTATACGTAATTTTTGTTTTTAGAATTTCCTCCGGTATCAATGGTCCTTCCAGGTATAAATGGGCATTAATGTATATTGTTTACCTAACCATTTTCGCAAACGCAAATATACTCGGAAGGCACGTTGTCTGGCAATTCCTTTAGTTTGAGTAAGATTTTCCAATGATAATGAACTTCTAGAAGCGGATCTTTCGAAGTAATCGAAACGGTATTTGTTAAGTGTCTCCTTTCTTTCATCGCAATATAATAACAATATAATTTTGTACGCGTGTTCAACAAGTTGATCGCGGGGAGCATCTTTTTTATAAAACACATCCATTAGTAGCATCTCTTAAGACATAAATATTTTAAATAGTTTATTCTTTCCTTGGTGCTTCCTTGCTTGTAAAATGCAGAAACTGAAAAAACAGCCTGAAAAAACACGAAGAATAGCAACATAATTTTTTATTTGAGGATATCTAAATCTATTACGAATACCTTTGTCAGTATCTTGACCTCTTCCATTTTTTAAAAGATAAATCATTTTTGGTACTAATAAATTGTGTACTAAAAAAAACTATTAAGTCAACGTTTTCGTGAAAATGAAAATCTCGCGATACATTGCCGCATTGCAATCTGATTCTCGTCTAGGATTTAATATTATTGCCTGTATCTTTCGGATATCCATCAAATATTACGATAGTATTTTTATACTGATCGTGCCGTCGTTCGCGCTAATATCTGGAAGCTGAACTAAACATTTGAAATTGTCATAAAACTTGGACTTTGCTGTTTACCGTCTTCCATCTTATCAAATAGTGAAAGAGGGAATGGTGCAGGCTCATATTGAAGGTACTGCTTCATATGGTCTTGCTTTTTCACGTTTAAAGAAACTCGTTGGAAAATTAACAACGGATTGCCACGGCAATTTCATTGTCATTTTTTATGCTACAAGACACGAACTGCAGAGAACAAACTTTATTTTTTGATACAGCTATCATATTTGCAAAAGATTGTCCGATGTAGCTTTATAGAATTTAAAGCCTTCTCCGAGCGCGTTGAAATATTTGATATTACCAACACCGACTGTGCCCGAACAAATTTATAAAATAGATGTTCGAAAGTATCGCGTCCACAATTTACATGTTGGTCCTCATTTTTTAATGTTGTTTATTTACTCCATAAATTTATATTTGATAGTTATTACTACATTACTACTACTTTTTTAACTGCATCGGAATATTTCATCGGACAAGAAATTTGTTCTTCGTTTAAAGGAAGCTCATCCATTCGTTAGCGTATCACATTGAGCATTTGTATCGAAAAAAGCTTATTTTATTGAATAATATATGTTAAGAATATTAAAAAAAAATTATTTGATAAATATAATGAGAAATGATGAAAAATGAGAAAACGCAATTACAAATATAAGAATTGAATGAATTGTTTTCGATAACTAGTAATAAATACTATAATTTTTTACGACGGGTTGGGAGTGTTTCATATCTAATTCGCTCCGCAATGGAGATAATCGTGAAGACGGGTATATATATATATATATATATATATATATATAGATATATATTGTTGCTACGAACGTAGGAGATCGCGCTACTTATCGAAACGATAGCCACTGGCTAATACTCGCGCTGGATAGATTAATTAGTCGCGAAACGTGTGTTAGTCTTGCTCGAGCAATGGAACCGAAAAAAGATAATCGTTAGTTTAATAGAAACCTGCGCGGGTTGAAAGTAACATGTCGCGCGTTCGGCACCTGTATTCCTGATCGAACGATTTTACGTGTCGTTTACGTTATTTACGCCTTATTTTCATATACGCCCCCTGTGATTTTCATATATGACATAGTTTGGAAGGAAGTGAGTCGCGGTCAGGCCGTAAGCTTGCGGTCCAGCGATATAATCGGGCTGGCGATCTGTCGTGTCGTCTTCGGAAACTCTAAATGCCGCGTCGCTGCTGCATCTCGATCTTTGCATTGGTCAGAAATGTATCCTACTAACACTGCGTATAAGAGCTTTGTCATGTAACGTGCTGATGCTAGTCGAACGTCCGATCATGTCGGGTAAACGCAACCCGTGACACTATATAACTTTCGCTAGTCGTAAAGATATAGTATTCCAGTAAAGCTATTAAATATTTTAATCCAACAATTTTCGAGCCAAAAAATAGTTTTTGAAATATTCTAAAAAACCTTGGTTTTGCAACTTTGCGAATTTAAAAAATGGCGAACTTCGTGTTATTTTTTATACCCTATACGTCCATATATTTGCTTTCACGTACTAATTAAGTTTTATTTTAATTTATTGCAAAATCCTTTAATTCAAATCTGTATTTCAAAATCACTGTATACTCGTTTGAAAATATACATATAAATATGTGCTCATTCATTAAGGTCTCATGGCAATTAATGTGATTCATCCTTTTTATTTAACTTCCGCTCATTAAACAATATTCTACGATATTTTGTTGATACTTACATGAAGCATGGTTTCCATATTTCACTTTTTTTGCAGCTTCCAAATTATGATTGAGCAAATGAAAAGTGAAAATAGCTTGAAGACGTGATCCCAAAATAACAGTTCAAACAGCTCAAATAGAAGATTCATTAAGTTTGAATTGAGTCAGTTTATTTTTATCGAAAGAAAAGGAGTAATTCCTTCAAATAAAACCGTGAAAAATAAAAAAAACACTGCATACATTAATTGATAAATATTGAAAAGGAACGAGGAAAAGGGTGAAAAGACTTTTGGACTTAGCAATAAAGATGAAACCCATTCGAAAACGCAATCTTTATTTATTTGCTCTTTTTTTGACTTGTGGTCGAGTGATTATCGTACAGAGAGTGTGCCGCACGACCGCGTGCAACGCGGCTATATCAACCTGTACACACATTCAATCGGCGCAACTCCGTGCGACAGTCACGCGCTCGTCGTTTTCTTTTATACACAATTATAATTTGGCTAAACATACACATCGTCATTGAGAAGGAAAATCGAACGATCGAAGCGCAGAAGAAAGGCTCTCGTGCGCAGACGCTTCACGCGCGTACGAGTAGCCGCCTCTTGCTGTCAACTCCGCTGAGAACGACGTCGATAAACATACGAAAGTCTGGAAAGATTAGTGTCGGGCGAGCGAGGCGCGATTTGCGACGCGCCGAGCGATCTCATCGCGACTCGCTTCGCCCGCGAACGCTACTTCGTACGCGACACCGATAGTACACTATTTAACTGCATATAAACGTACAAAAACAGATTCCCTTCTTACTGTCGCTCGATCGCCGTGCCGTCGCACGGCGCTCTGTTTTCACTTCCGTCCCGGCGAACGCTGCTCTCTCGCCATCATTTATCTTTGAGCGTAAAGGCGCGGACGACGGCAAAAACAGGTGAACAAAGCCGACGGTCGATCGGACGCAGAGAGGGTCAACGCGAAGCGAGGAAGCGAAAGAGCGAGAGAGCAGTCTTCGATTGGATTTGCCTTGGCGCTCGCGGCGGACGTCCAATTATCGCGCCGCGGAGCCAATCTTTTGCGCAGCGGAGGCTCTCGTTCTGTCGCAGAATTAAGTATGGCTACACTCATTAAAAAGTGACGCGCGCGAGATCAATATTGTGCTTCGGTAATCGTTGTCCGCTTTTACTTTTACTTTTCATTTCTCTTCGCTGTATTGCTTGTCATTGCTTCTCTCGCGTCGCGCACCCAAATTCACGATAAAATTCCACATAGTAATCGTAAAAAAATTCACATTCATAGTTTTTTCTTTTAAGAAATTCAGGAATCTACTTTAAACGCCTGCCCCGCGTTGTCGTAAAGACGCGCGCGTTATTACCTGTTGCGCCAAACCTCTTTAACAAGCTTGTTTGTCCGCGTGCTTTGTGCTCGCCAGCCGCCAAACAACATTTTTCGTCCTCCTGGCGTTTCGCCGACTAATCGCGCGCTTCAGCCCCCGCTCGCAGTCGGCGGCGCGTTGCGCTGCGTTAAACGCCGCCTGTATATAAAAATCAAAAGTTACCCCCGTACAAAACATCGCGTGACTTAATTGATAATTAAGGTATATAGCGCGCGGCTAAACAACGTGTTCCAGTTTCCGAAAGCCCCTCGCCCTCTGCTAATATTGCTTTACGACCCTTTTACAAGTCTCGCCCGCGTCGGCTGACCTTCTTCGAACCTTCGAATTTCACGCGCGACCGAGATGAACCCTCCCACTCCCTGTCTCGAGCCAAGTTGCCACCGACTTTGTCGATTTTTCAAGCTTTAACGCCCCCCTCCCCCTCCCCCGCTTCCTCCCTTGTCGACCAATCAAACCAGCCACGCGTAAGGGTTATTTGTTTCTGGGAACGAATAGAATAGGAGTGTAAGTTGCGCGCTCGCGCGTGTAAAGCTATCTGATACGCGCGCAGGGGTGAGTCTAGTTGGTAAGAACGAGGCCGAGTTGGCGAATTGCCGGTACTCCCTCGATGCTTTCTATGTTTTTTCGAGGGCTTGTGACCCACTTTCATCCCTCTTTTTCTTATTTCGAGTTTTGATCGATTACACCGTTTCTCGAAGTTCCTTTAGTTTTCTTTTCTGTTCTTTTTCTTTTTTTTCGGGAATCTCTATTCTTTTTCGCGGAAAAGTTGAACTTTCGCTGCAACTACTTGTTGAACATCAAAGTGATTATCATCGAGGCAGGTGTGTACGTGTGTGTGTGTGTGTGAGAGAGAGAGAGCTCACGCGTAAATGAATCAGACGGTGGTTATACAAGAAATAAATAAAAAGTAATTATTTGTTCAAAGTGCATTATATCTATTAAACGAGATTGAAAGAAAGAGAGGGAGAGAAACCAATAAAAATGTAACTTCTTAGCAGCCGGACATACGAGGCGAAATTTTTAAACTGCACGAGCAGTGGTAACGAGTGTCAGTTGTCGGACAGAAAGAATTACAAAAGAGAGAGAGAGAGAGAGAGAGAGAGTGGTCGGATGAAATACTCGTTTAGCGTTACGCGCGTCGCAGGGAAGTAACGCAAATTAGCCCTAAATCGTGCGATACGAGCTAACTTGCGGCGTGCGCATTCGCCCCATTAGCCAATTACAGTCCGTGCGTTTTATACATTGCATTATTCGAATTACACGAGCGCAGTTCGCCACCCGGCCTCCTCAATAATTCAGCCAGTCTGGCGCGAGCGCGGTGCACAACTTGGCATAGTCCAACTGCAGTCGAATAATTGAGATGTCCGAGGGGTCGAGGGAGTCCATAACGGTCTTTAATCCAACGTTTCGACCCATTAGCAAGGCTGAGCGTTGCTTTCCATATTCGGAGGGGGCGCAATCTCGGCCCGCCAAAGTTGTCCTAGCCAGCGGCACGGATCCGTCACTTTAATGGCGCCAACGTCTCTCTCGCCTCGATTGGCGTGCGTGTGTCCCGCTGATTCATCGTTGTCGGCTTATCTCTACTGCTCGTTCGATCGGCTTTTCTTTTCCCACGTTCGGTCTCGCTCTTCCGCCGTTTCGCTTGACTAGCCTCGAGCTGATACGACGCACGCGCTCTAGCGACATTTGGATATACGCGAGTGGCGTGTCTGCGTGTGTGACTAGCGATAATGACGAGAGAGAAAGAGAGAGAGTTAACCATTTGATTCGTATCATTGGTGTACGAGACATTAAAGTATTAATCGCTACTGAGAATCGAGTGGGACACAAGCGCTCGCGCAGCGATACGGTTTTTATAACAATGCCAATTTGGCGTATGCGCGACGTACTGTCGGCGAGCGTTCTTGCAATTGAGTCTTCGATTTGCCGTCTAGGAAAGTGGAAAGTTAGATATTTCGATAGTCGAATGAGAATCAGGATAATATCGCGTCACGATGATTAATTTGGGGATCGAACGCGCGCATCTCTCTCTCGGACGGAGGTTGAATTTCGCGCTCCACCCACTGCGACAATTAGTCGCGGCCAAACGCTAGCAAAAACAGCAGCGCGGCAGCGTCCAGTTGGCAAATTCCGGCGCGATGAAATAATGGCGAGTAACGTACGGTAGCGCGCTCCCAAAGACGAATCCTCCGCGGATACGATAAAAGATTGTATCCGGCGCCAAGCGCTAACGAAAATAGGCAAAAATCAGAGCATGAAAAATTTACAACCGCGCGTTTGGTCGCGATGGGGGAGGGCGCTTGCGAGGAGTGAGCTTTCAAAAGCTCTCTCTCTCTCTCTCTCTCTCTCTCTCTCTCTCTCTCTCTCTCCCACGGGATGTTTGATCAATAGGTAGGCGCGCGCGAGCGAGAGTTGTAAGATCGATGCGTGCTACGTGTGTGTGCGCGCGCGCGCGCGCTGTCGAAAAGGGAAATTTCTTTTGGCTTTTTCCGCGTGGAAAGCCTATTTCGCAGATTCCCACGAAAAATCGGATTACATCCCTATGCGTATATAGATCGAGAGAGACTCTACTGAGAAGATTGCGGAATATATGCATAATTCTATATGTAGATGAATGGACACGTCGTATATATGCAGTTAAACAATTTCACGCGCGAGATACTTTAGAGCGCATCCGTCCCTCGAAGACGAAAAAAAAAAGAGAAAGCAAATGTCCTCGTAGACTAACAACGGTCGAGAATTGACTGAACGCGAGAGCTCTTTTTTAGCCATCCCGGCCGCCAACAGTTTGTTTTTGGATCCTCTTCTACCTTTTTCCGTTTCGCGAAGAATATGACTTTTTTCTTCAGCTTGATCGGATGAGAAAACACATATCTTTCTATTTACACGAGCACGATTAGATTTTTCTTTTCTATATAAAAATAAGAAAATAACGAGATTAAAACTCTTGGAATTTTTTGGAGCGGTAACAAGTGAGGAGACGAACGCATATGCAAACCTTCCTTCTATTTTTGGCGAAAGTATAATCTACGCGTTCGAATTTCGTTTGATCTGAAACACGGGACTGACTGTTTTTTTTTGTCTTTGGTTTTCAAAGAAGAAAACTGAGCTGTCTACTGTTTTTTCTTTGTTTTTTTTTCTCATTTTCATTTTTCTTTATCGACACGCCATCGTTATATACAAACAAGTAACAAACGCGCTTATGAGTAATAAACAAGTAGCTTCGTCTAAAGCTTTCGTCCCTCTTCCGTGTGCCTCGTTTATTGTAAAATACACCGACAAAAAATGAAGGAAAACGACATTGAAACATGCTATCGCTTTTAATTTATTTCCTAGAGATTTTTTTAGTTTTCGTGTTTATTTGTATGTCCGTTCCTAATTTAAATACTGCCTCGAGACTTTCGTTTTTCTTTCAGCTTTCTTTGTTTATGTACGCATCCGCTCGATCCGTACGCACATATGGGCTTAAGTGTAAAGTTTTTGCATTTAAAATTTCTTACTATTTACACATTACACGTGTGTGTGTGTGTGTGTGTGTGTGTGTGTGTGTATATAATATTTAATAAAATCTTTTTTGTTATATCTATACATGCAAGATCGTAGAATATAAATATTGTTTTCGCAAGTATGCCTTCAAAGAATCATGTATACGCACAATGTATATATTTATATAACCATTTTTTTATCGTCCCAAGCCCACATCCCCGACTTTGTACATCAATTGATATGTATGTGTATTAAATATTACAACAACAAATGATCGTTACGAAAAAAGTTGCGCAGGCCGTTACCGCAATATTGCAAACTATAGCGATATGCGTAGCGAGATTCTGCCACTTTGAACTGTCGACACGCGCAGTTATAACGATATGGATATCCTTTGATGTGGTCCTACCGTTGCATTAATGCGCGCGGCCGGGGCAAACAGCTACATATTGAAATCGGGAAAATTTATGCCCACGAGTTTGATCATTTTGCGTCTCCGTTTCCAAAGCTAATGTCTTTTTAATTACCGACTGCCGGTCGACCGGCCAGCGTTGATCACATTATTGCCTGATTCCCATTCGACTGCGATACAGTCCTTAACAGACCGTCTGTCTAATGACGGTTTGTCGCTTCTTTTCGTAGGGACTCGCATTACCTTAATTCGCACTTGGACTAAGTATCCTATTATCGGCCCGCGCGCGATTAGGCGAATCTCTGATATGTTCCGTTTCGTTGATATCACCAATGTTTCATCCTTAGTCTACGTGCCCTCGACTTTCTTGGAATCGAGCGCGCGATATGTAATTTGATGATAGTCACGTATAAATTAATCGTTAAAATTATAATAACAAGTAGTTTCGTATTCTCGACGAAGATTTACTAATAGATCTATACATATACATATATATATATCCACATAACTTTTTGATTTCTAACGAATGCGTGAGCATTGATGGATAGGTATTTGTAACAATCAATAAAAATTTGGTTCAGAAGTGACAATTACATAGTCGATAATAAACGTGTTGTTCAAAGTTGAACTATATTTTTGAATGAGCCAATAGGCGCCATAGAATATTCAAGTAGAATATGACATGCGAAAGGAAAAAATTAACTAGCGCAAGGTGGGCCGTCTCTTGGCCATGAAACATTTTTGCGAGCGTTTGACAAGTTGCACTAGGCCGAACCTAAGCGTATACGAAAACTCGCGTGAGCCCGGAAAGAAAGCAGCGCGCCGAAGGAACGCAATAAGAAAGTTTGCGCCATCTCGCGAAATAAAACACTCGAGCGGGCGAGGGAGAGCAAGCGACGAGAGCCCTTCCGGAGTTTCGCGAACGCTCGGCGTTCCGGCGGATCCTCTTCCGGAACGACGCGGAACAAAGACAACGGCCGCCGGACGATTGGCACATCGGGAGCGGGAAACTTGTCCCGACGATAGCCGCGTTGATTGGGGACTCGTTAATGCCGAAAGCCGGAGAGTTTGCTCGGCGCGTAACGAAATTATCGAAGGGCAAAGTAGAGACGGCGGCACCAGTAGCGCACATACATAACAAGGTTGGCTCAGCCACCGCTGACTTCTCTTCGCTCTTCGCTGATCTTTCCGAGTGAGGAAGCTCCACGAGAGCTAATGGAACTTTCAGAGCGACGTTATAAACAAAGTTGACGAGTTAACTTTGAAGCCCTGCTGCCCACCCCATTTTTCCCCTTCTTCTTCTTCTTCTTCTTCTTCTTCTTCTTCTTCTTTGCCGCGCGCCGCGACTTTTCTTCCTCTCCCTTCCTCTTTTCCGAGCGAGTTTGATTCCAGTTTGCTCCCGGAGAAGGATCTTTGAGGCGCGACGTCGCGCCGCGCGAGGACGCGAGGCGCAACGTCGCTCCTACGCAAAACATATACTTCTCGTTTTGATTCATCGCTCGCTGCAAAAGTTCCATGCCGAACAAACGAAAATAGCGTACCGGGAAAGTTTGCCGATCCATCGCGTCGACGGTACTATGGCGTACTTGCTTTCATCTTAGCTTCTAGTGATATGTTGATTCGATTGAACGTCCCGTTGAGACATCGACTGCTCAGTTTTCCCATGATACGCGCGCATCGGGATTTCAAACGAGCATTCCGTGAACCACGCACACGTGTCGCGCGCCGTGTGATCGCGGGAATGGCGCCTGCTCGAAGCTTCTCGCGCGCTCAAATTTACGATTTCCTCGGGAGTGCGTGCGACTTCTTTTGGCTCGACGCTCGCAGTCGTCTCTCTCGTCGTCGACTACGAAGGAACAGCGTCCGTCGATCGAGGATTTGCGAGCGTCGTAACTTACGCTGCCGCCGATTCTCTCTGCTTGCTGTCCACGTGTTTACGCGGAGATCAGGTTTGTTTGTCCCGCTCGATTTCAATATTGCCGCGCGCGTCATAGGCTCGCTGTTCACGAGCGTGTTTGACCGGAAAGAAAACCAACTCGTTTTTGTTTTCGCGAATGGCTTTTACCCATCGGACAAATATTGAAAAGAGCTCGAGAAGCGAATATCGGATTTTTTTCGGTCGCTCGTCAAACATTCTTTCTCTATGTTTTTTTTGTTTTTTTGTTTTTTGTTTTTTTTTTTTTTTTTTTATTTGGCACAGTTTCCTTCTTTCTTCGCGTTTTTCAATCCTCCCGAGCTACCAACTGATTTTTCAGCTTCGACGCGGAGAAACCGCGGTCGGCGATCAACGTTCGCAGCGAAGCTACGCGCCAAGGAATTCCATTTAATATTCATTAGTCGTGTCGGAAACATACCGACACGGTTTGAATTCTACGGCAGACGAGAGAGATAACGCTCGCGTAAAAATGTCATTTACAATTGAACCCACGCTAGCGTCATTTGTCATCGCAAAGCCAACGACATCTCGCTGCTGAGCAGCATTTAGTTTCGTATATAAACGGCTCATCAATCATCGCGAAAAAAAAAAGCAAAAACAAAAAAAAAAATATCGATAGCAATGTCGTTTAGCGCCACGAGAAATCGCACTGACACCTGTCGCGATATCCATCTCTTCCCCACGTGGATGTTTTTATTAATGTCACGAAAAAAGAAAAAGTATTCCCTCACACTCCGTTGCGCTAGGAACTTTAACTTCGAGCCCCCATTCCACGAGCACGCGCGCCTTGTTTTCCGGACTGACTTCGGGGCAGCAGATCGTCGCTTTTGTCTCGTTATGTCCTCCGAGCGAAATGAACCGCGACTATGTTAAGCGTATGATAACGATAAGCTTATCAACAGTCTTGTTACTTTTGTGTATTATTTATAACTTTGTGTGTTTTTATTAAATCACAGACGGGTTCTTCAATGCGTCGACTGACCTGTCGTCCTTCTATACATCGTAAGCTCGCGTTTCGTACGATAACCCATTTCTTTCTTCCTCTTTTTGTGCTGACGAGTCAATTATAAATTTGTACTTGCGTATATTTGAGTGGCGATGGGTGATTTGTGCATAGGTCAGGCGGCCGAGACTCTTGCGCCGATGAAAACAGAAAACGACGTCGACGGTCAACGCGGCGTCGTTTACGCCGGGCTATCCGGCAAATTGGATAATGCTCGGCGAGCGCGCTGCTTTCTGGCGGACGCCGAGTTTCGTTATTTTGACAGCCCTCTTTTGGAAAGAAGCGCGTCGACTACACCATTCGTACGAATCGCCCAGAACGTTTGCGCAAGCTTTACCGTTTAGGGGCTTGGGGATGCGCAATTATTGGAACAGAACGTTCGACGTAACGTTTAGTTGGTCGGTTACTCGGCTTCGAGCTCAATTCAGAGGCGAGCGTCGACACGTTCAAAGTATTACGTACGTATATTCGATCACACATTCATACCATAAGTCGTAGTTGGTCGAACTGAATATTTCATTACTCGACGCGAATATCGTTATAGAGTTCTTTCCTCTGATTCCGAGTCTTATTTTCATCGAGAAACCAATAGCTCCGTCGACGAATATCCGACGAAACCGTCGTGTGAAACCGTCGTTTGAAACCGCCGTTTGCCGCGGCACCGGATCTCGTCGATGTATTCTGCTGCCGAGAACAAAAAGGAGAGCATATCCGGTAGCGTCGTCAGTGCAGGGTTAATTCAATGAGCGTCGAAAAAGTTGCTACACGGCGCAAGAGTTTGCCGCGTGAAATCTGCACGGATATCAGCATAATGCGCAGCGGCGACGGTGGCGGCTTCAAATTGGTCGGAAAGTTGCGCCGGGAAGACGCGCGCTCGGCCTAATTGTCTCGCTCTGCCCGCCGTCGCGCGCAAATTAATTTGCCAAAGCCGCGTAATTGCAGATGGCGCGAGCTCGGGGATTACATTATCAGTCGTGCGGGGGACGAGCTGCTGCTGCCGCGTCACTCGGGCGCCCGGGCGTCCCTTTCGCCCATCCACCGCCACACTCCGCTGCGCGAGGCAGCGCGGCAAGAAGAGCGGCAATCGAGGTTGACAGGTGGAGCGTGCGCGCCGGACGCCGATCGGGTGCGACGACCGATCGCGACCGCGGCGCCGCGCGGCTCGCCGTCGAAAAATCGTAGCGCGCTACGTTGATCGCGGCTGCCTTTGGTTCCCGAGTCAAAGTGTGGCGGCGACGAGGCCGACGCGCTGCCCGGACGCGCGCTCAGTGTGCGATGCATGCCGTACGCTGTACAATAATAATAGCTTAACGATTAAATGCCATAACAACGTTTCCAATGTGGATTAGAAAAATATTTAATCTTTTACAATGCAACTAGACTTTCCATCTACGCGTTTACGTACTTTCCTCTTTCCCGGACCAATATGATCCATCCTTCTCCCTCGCACACTCTCGTTAAACAGTTGTGTCGACATTTAGAGCGCGCACGGCGGTCCGGAGTCTCCCTTATCCCCTGGCCAACGTCTCTTTTCCGGCTGGTGAGCTATCCGATTAAGAGAGAAAGAGAGAGGCTAGGAAAAAAAGCCGCCAACGTCGCAGCCCTTTGACGGTAATTTTCAGTCTCAAAAGCGCATGCATGTACACACGCGCGCGCGAGTTAATCGAGCGATGAGGCGCTCTCTCCCTCTCGCGCTCTCACAGATGGCGGTTTACGCGTGGAGCGCGCGATTTTTTCTTTCGCCTTTTAGAGCGCCGGCTTCAAAGATGCCTCGGCTCTGAGACGCAAAAAGGTAAGCTCGCACTCGGCGAGAGACACAGAGAGAGAGAGAGAGAGGAGAGGAGAGAGAGAGAGAGAGAGAGAGAGAAGGTTTGATCAAAGTCGTTCGCGTTGCGATATCGTTCTGGATTCCCGCTGGCCGTGCGCATTTCAGATTTGCGCGGTAAATTAATTTGCCCGAGTCATAATGGCTCGTCCCCGCGAGGGAAGCCCACGGAAAAGCAAACAAATAGAGCCCCAGCAGCCGGCCGGCTCGTAATTAGTTTCGCGAAATTGCACGGCAGGCGGGGGCCTTCCATTGATTTCCGAGGCGCCGCGGAACAAAGGGGCCGGAGATCGACGCCGCGCTCCCCTCGCGGCTGGCGGCCGGCAAGGATTCCGGGCGGCGCGAGGCGGTGAGGGCTTCACTCCTCGGGCCAGCCGAGATCCTCGCCGACGAGGTCGTAGAAGCGGCGGTTGTGCTCGCCGAAGAACTTGCGCAGCTTGGCGACCACCAGCGGGTTGACCCGCGGGTGCCTGCGGCCCTTCGTCTCGCGCAGGCACTTGCCCTCGGTGTCGCTGCGTATGCAGTAGAAGCCCTTGGTCTGGTTGAAGTAGAAGTGGTGCCTGCCGATGTAGGGCTCGAGGCGCAGGAAGCTCTCGATCCTCTTGAGCTGGGGCAGGGGGTCGTCGATCAGCTGGTCGCCGTTCACCACCAGCATCTGGCGCCGACTGAAGACCGCCAGCCACCTGGCCATGTGCAGGTGGTAGGTCGATATGGCGATCGGCCGGTAGGACTCGTTCACGCTGCCGTCGGCCCTCAGCGCCAGCTCCTCGAAGCGGCGCTCGCGGGCAGGCGCCGCCGGCTGGCCGCCACCGCCGCCGCCGCCGCTGCTGCTGACGTTCGCCGACGGCGCCGTCGCCGCGTGGCTCTTCAGCTGCGCGTAGTCCGAGATCGCGCGGGTCACTGGCTCGCGGACTATCAGCAGCAGCCGCACGCTCGAGTTCATCGCGTAGATGCGCTCGGGTACCTGCATTAGCATCGGCGTCGTTCAGTCTCTCCTCGGCGGCTGGCCGCTCGCAGGCAGGTGCGAGAGTCCGCGGCCGGCGCGAGACTTTGCCGGGCGGTGCATACGTACGCGGAGTGCAGCGAGTGCTTGCCCGTGGAGAAAATCAGGTGCACTGTGCAGGTCGCTGTTGCGACGACATTCACTCCGGTGCGCCATCGTCGATTCGCGCGCGTGCGCGCCGCCTGTCCGCCGTTCGCGCGGGATTCTGGACTTCGTTTACGGAACACACCTGCTAATGAGCTGCAGGCGCCGAGTCGCTTGCGCGAGCGCACGCTCACTTATTCATCGATTTCATCGACGCTGCGACCGATGTGCGCGTATCTTTTATTTATTTGCTCATTTATCTATTCGGTTAGTCGGAACAACAGGTTACTTTCGCGAAATTTCATAATTTACGAGCAGCGATAAACCATCAATTCAATCTTTCAATTATGATGCTGATCGTCGGCGACCGACAATTCATAAATAATAAAGCCTCGTTATATTCTCCGACAGCTAATAAATATAGGCTTATCACAGCCGTAATATCCAATTAACGTCGTGCTTACAAGTTTTCCCACTCAGTCACTCGTGAATTCGTGAATACACACGTGCGGGTGCACTTTGACACAGACACTCACGCAGTTTTGTGCTCACATACAGAGACAACCTCTCGTCTGTCAAAAATATCAAATCCACACATCGCAGGTGCACGTACGAGTTGCGCTGGTGCAGATCCGGTGACCGGGATACGCAGGTGCAGAGATGGCAGTCGTGGTGGCTCGGGTGCAGTTTCGCTCGTTATATAGCTTTTACTCTCTCGCTCGCCCTATTTTTTTCTTTTTTCTTTTTTTTTTCAACGTGCAGTGTGCAAAACAAAAGTATTATCCCGGTGAGAGGGCCAGTTTCACGCTCAAAGCATGCCAGAACAAAATCGAAAAAAGCAATTTTTTTAAACGAACGGACGATGGAAAGAGAGAGAGGGATAAACTGCATGCCCTTTGAAATGATTCGAATTTCAATCATTTGGCGCTCAATTGAGTTATGGCAATGTATACACGCGGAGGCGTGAGAGAGAGAGAGAGAGAGAGAGAGAGAGAGAGAGATAATTTGCTCGGTGTTTATACAGTTTGCATGCAAAACAAGTGAGTGAGTGAACAAAGGACTTCTCTGGCCAAGGGCCTTGTTCTCTACGTTTCCTGTGCAAAAAATCGATTAGTGCCGTCGCTACACGCTACCGTGACTCCCAAAAGGCAGCTCTGCTCCCTCGAAATCAGATTGCAGCGGAGCGTCTGCTCTCCGTTTTGATTTTATTCGTTTGCGGACGCAGCTGACTGTCGTGAATCACGGCAGGTTAGAGAACGTTGCCGCGGTCGGAAACTACAAATAGAACGTGAAAGTGGAAGCGAACGCATGCGGTAGCTTGACTAACCTCGGGAGTGACAAAGTAACTGGGACTCTTCTCAATGGTGATCTGTCCTTTGAAGGAGTAGGGCATTTTCCTTCGGTACCAGTCGAGGCCCTTCTCGTAATTGTCGTTCCTGTCGAAGAAGTGCACCTCGCCGGCGGCCTTCTGGATCTGCGGATGCAGGAACAGGTACTCCAGGAGCGCTCGGGTGCCGCACTTGCGCACGCCGACGATGATGGCTTGCGGCAGCTGGCGGCTGGTTCGTGGGAAGTGCGCCTTGCCGGTGACGAAGAGCGCCGGCGGCGGTGGCGGTGACGACGATGACGACGACGACGACGACGACGACGACGACGACGACGATGACGACGACGACGACGACGACGACGACGACGACGATGACGACGACGACGACGACGATGACGAGGAGGAGGAGGAGGCCGAGGACCGCGGTGACGCCTCGTCAACGGGTGCGACGATCACCTTGTTAGCAGCGGCGCGCAGACTGTAAACCGCGCTGTCGTAGAGGATGTGGAAGGTGAGGAAGAGCGAGAGCAGTGCCACCGTGAGGAAGGCCGCCGCCACCTTGGGCCTGGAGAAGCCCACCACGAGGATGCAGTCCGAGGCGCTGTCCCCTAGATCTGTTGGCCTCATAGCCGCGCGCGGCATACATCTGCAACCACGACCACCGCCAAAGCTGACTTTGTTCTTTCGATCAGTCGCTCCGTTCTCTCCGGGCGGGCGCACCGACACTCTTCCAACTTGTCGCCGAGTTTCGCGGCCGCGCGCCGGACAAGTCGTTAAGGACTTTGCAAAAGTGCAAAGTTTGCGCAACTAATTTCCCCGGAGCGAAATTATAAGCCCCCGGCCCGAAACTCGAGCGTGCTTGCAAAGTTTCAAAAAAGATGTGCGTTTGACGGATCGAAGATTTAAAGTTTGATCGCGCGAGCCGCGTCCCGGTACACACATTCTTGCCAACGGACTCGAGCGCGCCTCGTCGAAATTCGACTCGCGAGTCCGCCTCGACACGGCCACGGAGCCCGCGAAATCAACTCCCGCCTTCCGGCGCTAAAGCCTTCAATGGTGATTCCAGCCTGTAGTTCGCCCTTGATCGAGCTGTCGCTGCGAGGCCTCTGCGCGATTTCGCACGCTCGCGGACCTATTAACATTTCAGAACGAGCACAAACGACCTTTGTGAGTTGGCTCGTGCTGGCGCTCTCTTCCTCTCCTTTTTTTTTCCTTTCTTTTTGCAGAAAAATCATAATTAAATACTGTCGCGTGCAGCCTTTACTCTCTCGACCAAGGGTCGCTGCCGCAGCAGCGGGAGCGCGAAAAAACAAGCGAAACGATTTTCGCGCACACGACTTGCCGCTCCAGGCGACTGGAATATCGAACTCGCTCGTTTCATAAATAAATCGCGGTCGTGCACACGTATATTCCCTCAAGCTCGATCAATCAGAGCGAGAGGGAGAGAGAGAGAGAGAGAGAGAGAGAGAGAGAGAGAGAGAGGGAGAGAGCAATGTCAATACACATTGCGAGTGGTTGTTTATTCCTTTCTCGTCCGCACGACTAAGAGCTAAAAATAAAATCGCCTGGCTATTACCGCGCCGCACGCCACGTATACTTTTTATTCGCGTTCCGGAGGGTTTGTACAGCCAGAGTTAACTCGCAAAGACACCGCCCACGCAGTCCCGAGAATTTGCATTTGGCGGATTGGCTGCCAGCGTTAATGAGTTTTCTTCGCGTGGTATCTAAGTGGCCGATCTACGCAAACGCTCGACGCTGTCCGTTTGCGTCCCGATGAGAAAATTAAATTTTGTCGAGCGGGACGAAAATCGAGTCACGCGGCCGCAGGTAACAATGACGAATCGTCGCACGGCCGACACACTGCCCAGGCATCGCGTCGTCATAGCTGCCAAGCTCGCTCGCTAATTGGTGATTGGTGCGCGACCCCGTGACAAACGTAACGTCGCTCGAGCCGAGCGCCAGCGGAAGCCGGGCGCGCGCAACGGCGAGCGAGCGCTCGCGCGAATCGGCCCCGTCCAAAGCGAGAAAACAACGCCGGTTGCTCGTTACGCGCGCCCCGCGCGCCCGGCAGGCGGAGGAGGAGCCTCGCGTTCGGACGTAGCGCCCGAGCCGCGGGTGCAACAACCGGCCCGCCGCGGACACATTTGGGGATGAGGCCACGGGCGCGCTCGGCTCGTCGATCACGAGTAACGCGATCCGCGCGCTTGGCCGAGAGTACAGCTTTCCCGATGCGCGCCGGGCGAGGCTTCGGCTCGCTCTCGTTGGCGCCGTAATTCAAGCCTCGCTCAGGACGGATAAAGCAGTCGCGGCCAATCCTTGCCTGCCTTGCTTTGCGCCCCTGGGGGATATTTCCCGTTGGCGCTGCCGGCGTCGCTGCTGCTACTGCCGGAGCTCCGAATAACGGATAGCTCGGGCCTTTATCAACTTGTCGGATTCGCCTTGCGCCACATCTTTCGCGCCGCGCGAGAAATCGATAAGCACGTATGTGCGTATTTCACCTTCTTTTTGTCTCGCGTATACTTCTTCGGGAACGCTCTTCGTTACATTTCTTTTGTTTTCGCAGCTTCCGCAACGGCAAAGATCACGGGCTGGCGATTCGACGAGCGCCGACCGATAAGAGGCAGAGAAACTGCGGCACGGCCTCGAAATTTTCACGCTCGAGTAATTCAAATTGTAACATTGCAAAACCAAGTCGAGCGAACGGTACGACAAAATTCTCGTCCGAGGGTGATACGAGCGCGCGATAAATTTACAAAGTCGCTATCGAGACTCGTCGAAATTGGAGGCACGGTCGAAAGTCGAACGGTAAAAACAAAAAGAAGAATGAGAAAAAGGAAATCCCAGCCGATCGAGAGCGGAAAAAACTTGTTTACGGCATATCGCGCGCGCAAGAAGAGTTTCGTCGGCCGACAAATATTCGCGTGCGAGTCGGCGCGCCGGGACAGGCCAAATATTTATTTGGCTCCCTCGGCTCGCGCGCCCGATCGAACTGCGCCGCTGTTGTCGGCACCATTCGCCGGGAGAAAAAAGGACGATCAGTCGGGTGGGTGTCTCGCGCGCAACGGCCGAGCGTCCGCGGGCAACGCGAGTGGGACGAATCGCAAAGCCGAGAGCGCGTGGAAAACAAAATTCCTCCGTGTTCCTTTTCTTTACCAGCTGTTTATCGCTACACTTCAGGGGCAGATGTCGCCGAGCGAGAGAGTAACATTTTTAGCGTCGCTGCTTCAACCTGGGTTTTTATGCCTCGCAGTACAGAAAGAAAAGAAACGAAACGAAACGCACGCGGATAGACGAGACAACGTTTTTCATAAATATTGTACGATTATACGTATGAACGAACGTATCTTTCAGGGACAAGACAGGTCGAAGATCGGCCGAAAAATTTACAGCGGTTTTCTTACTCTTCTTCTTCGTTATTGGACGAAAGACTAATGATTCCGCAGGTGAACGCAAAGGAAAATCACAAAAGGTGCACGCGCGATACCAATGGCGAACGTTATCGACGCGAAAGTGGACCTCTCTCTCGTACTTCGTTCCGGCGAGTCATCGAGTTGCTCATTCCGGCGCGAGAACAAAAGCCGCAGCGCGACGCCGACACAATAGCCCACCGGCTCGCTCGATCGACTTTATTTAATTAAACTTCTCCCCAGAGGCGTAAGTCGCGATTATACGGCTTAATAAAGCATAACGGGAGGAGAGCGCGAACTCAGCGCGACGCGTTAATTAGGCCGCGGCGGAGGCAAAGAAAAAGCGGGCGCGGTTGGGCAAGGGGGAGGCCCGGCGGATGCAAAGCGTTGTAAATACGAGGGGCGGCGCGTCGTTCGTGACTCGGCGCAGTACGCGCGCGAACATTCCGCGGCGAGCTCCCGACGGCACGCGCGGTAATTCGGCGTCAATTAGCGGAGAGCAGCGATCTTCCGCTCGCGAAACTTTAATTAGTTAATGGCAGGCGGCGAGCGCGATGGCCGAGCGCGATGGCCGAGCGCGATAACGGCGGACGGAGGACGCTCGGTCCCGGGCCCGAGCAGGCGAGCGCCGGTCGATCGGGTGCATACTCACAGAACATCCAGGGGCAACGGGGCGGGCCAGCCGTGACGAGACCAAGCCTTCACGGGCATCGAGCCGTCGGTGGTCGTCGGCCTCTCGGCGGCTCTGCAGCAGCGGTCCCTCACATGCTCACCTGCAACGACAACCGAGAGCCAAGTGAGTCCCGATCCGCCTTCCGTCGGAGTCCGCTGCGCGGGAAATTGTCCAATTACTCGGGGAATTCACTCGCGGCGCCTCACGTCAGCGGCAGCGATGCAATTCCATTTGTCCGCTTTGTTTTTTCCCTTTCTCGTGCTCTCCTCGGGGCGAGCGAGGGCGTTTTAACGAGCCAGCGAACGAAATTACCGACACAAGCCGGCGGCGCGGGACGGGGCGTAGGTGTAGGAAGGAAATAATACGACGGCAGCGCGATGGGGCGGGGGAGGGCGTTCGCTCGATCGCGTGCTGCAGTCACTGCACACGTGTACGCTCGCTGTAGTTGGCTCCCAATCGGAGAGGAATCGATGCTCAGCGCCAGCTCGCGACACGCGTACGAATTTCGCCAGGCGCCGCGGCGACTCCGACGCCTCGATTAGCTCGGCCTCGCAAGAACAACGTCCGATCGAGCCGAACGACGCGCGACCGGCCGCAGCCCTCGCTCGGCCCGTCGTCGAGATCTAATGCATATTCGGCTTGTTTAGGTTCCAAAAATCGATGCGCGACGAGGCGGAACAGCCGCAACTTCTTCACTTGGACTTGGCCGTTCTCATTTGTGGCTCGGCGAACTTTCTCGTGCTCCGTTGCTCTGTACCCTCAAATGCAAACAACGCTTACGTATAATCTAGAAAATGAAGCGGCGACCGCTCCGCTGCATCCGGCCTGCACTCGGTGGCGCGACTTCGCCTCGAAAATCGCACGGCTCGCCGCGAGCGCATTTCCAACAAGGACCGATTGCCACGGGCGAATCGATACGGCGTCGCGTGCGATCTGTCCCGTCGCAGCCGACCCCGATCCGACGAACAGCGCGGGCAACGATGCGGAGGCTGCTGGCCGAGGTCCGTTCGCCGGCGTCGGCTACGCGCGCTCGAGCCGTCCCACGGCGGCCTCGATTCGTCGCGAGCGCCGCGCGGCCGAATCGAGACGGCTATAGCAGCGAGGCCAAGACAAAAAGAAACGAGCGGCCGCGCGCCGAGGTGGCTCCGGGCAGCTTTACGTACTCGCGCGGGTCGTTCGCACGCTCGAGCGCCCGGGAAACGGAGCGGATTACTCGTTTTCCAGCGGCCAAAGCCGCGAGCTTTCTTATCTCGAAGGCCGAGCTGCGCTGCTTTTTAGTTTGTTCGCGGCCGCGCGAAACAACTTTTTCCGCGAATTTATATGTAGGTCGGATCGATGTTTAATGCATTCTCAGAGACTCCGAAGCTCGCGCAGCAGAATGCAGCTTTCCCTTTGCGTTGCGCGCGCAAGCTCTTAACTCGCGACTTTGTATCGGCAACTAGGCTAACCTTACTTCTCATCGGCTCGGTTCAAAATTCTACGTGGCTGATGAACAGCGCGATTTAGTCGCCACTTGTAACTCGGGAGCTCGGACGGCGAAGAACGAGATGCATTTGATTTGGGTCTACCAGCCGTCCACTTCGATTAGGACGTACTAGGGCGCGACTGCTACCGGCGACTTGGCGCTGTTCGGCAATTCAGTTGCGGCGTGGTAACGCGTCGAAAAGCAATAAACCGTTCGAGTACATAGCAGTGCGCCGATGAAAGCCTGCGATGGCAAAAGGAAAAAAAAAAAAATAGTGCGCTGCGCGGTTGCACGGAGGAGACGGCAGAGAAGAAAAAATAGATCGAGATCATGCACGACTGCACAATTATTCATGGCATCGCATCGATCGTCGCTCTTGCTCTTTCGTAGCTTATGCCCCATGGCTTGCAAGTGTGCAGCAGCAGCAGCAGCAGCAGCGCGGCTGCGCGTGCAAGCTAGAGAGAACGGAGGGCTTGGGGGAGAACTCGTGGGAGAGCTCAGCCATTGACAATCGATTTTCCATATTTTATTACACTTATGTGCGCGTGGCCCGTAACCACGGACAGAGACTGGTGCGCGGCGAAGGAAACGGGACAAGGGTGTCGGTTTACTTTGGCAATTTACGATCATCGCTAGTACAATCCTGATGGATTGCGCTCGTTATTTCGTTCGCTCTCGCCTGTTTCTCGCGCTCGGCCGCTGGCTAACGAGGCCTCTGATGAATATTATTCTTTTTCTTTCAATTTCCCTTCCGCAGAGTGATTTAAGAGCGCTTTTTTTAAAATAATGGACTTGATTAGAATTGAGGTCACGTGGTAACGAGCTTCGGAAAGTTTTCGGAAAAGAGAGACTACTTTTCGAACGTCCAGATCTCCGGCGACGGCGCGACAGAGCTGGAGGTTTTGAATTTTGTTTGAGATTGTACGGCAGGACGACAAAGTGCCTTTACGAGTTTCAGTAGCGTTCGACTTATTTGCGCCTCCTATCTCGCGCCACGCACTTGTAGCGCTTCCTTTTTCCTCGATGGATTATCTCTGGCAGTAGTCTCGAAATGCGTTCGGCCCGTCGAGCTGGAGAGGAGGAGTCCCCCCGCGCCTCTCGACAAATCAGCCGCTCCCGTTCGGATGGTTAGCGGGAAAAGCAAAGCGAGCTTCGGGCTCGAGTGGCGGTAAAAATCTGAGGCGTCAGAGCAGCGGTAGCCCCGGAGCCCGGAGCTCGGAGCCCGAAGATTCGTCCGACAAATAAATAGGGGCCAGGAGGGTGGCAGCGGAGAATCCCAATCGCCCTGGGGAAGGCTCGCAAGAGGCTTCCGAGCTATAGCGCCCAAAAAGAGAAAAAAGACCGCAGACTCTTAAGGGGTCGACGCCACGGCGGCGGCGCTCGGGCTCCTTGTCGCGACTCGCCATCGGACGTCCAAGTTTACAACGCTTTTACCGCGACGTGAATAATAGAGCGGGCAATTTACGCCCGCCCGCTTTTATGCCGCTCTTCTTTTCTTCTCCTAGACGGGGACAGAGACTCGCTCGCTCGTCTGCTCGACAGGACTGATGCGCGTGCAAGTGCACCGACAACGAGATCTCGCGGCTGACCGTAGCGAGTTCGTTTCGCTCGGCGCTTGTCCGCGAGAAATGACGCGGCGAGGTGCCCCCGAACGGCAGCCGCCGCGCCAAGTATTTTTGGTCCCGCGTGCCTCGCGCAATAGCATTAGCTGCAGCGCGGCGGCAGGCTAAAAAAAAGTCGAGCGAGCGTGCATCCCTCGGGCCGCTCAGGCAAATTGGCAATATCCTGCGAGAGCAACAGACCAGTCGGCCGGCTTTTTGCGCGATTGCAGCTCGGCCCCTGTTCTCGCTCCGCGCGCCGCTCGCCAAATAAGTAATGGTGCCGGCAAGCGGCCGAGGTGAGGCGGGGCGAAGCGGGGCGAAGCGGGGCGAAGCGGGGCGAAGCGGGGCGAAGCGGGGCGAGGCTCGAGCGCCGACCGGCGCCGGCAAAAACCGGGCCGCGCGGACCCCTTTGTTTGTTTTTCGGCGGCGAGCTCGGCGGCAAAGCAAACGGGCGGATCGCTGCGCCTCGGGCAAACAGCTAGCTCGATCGAGTGACTTGGTCCAGCGTAAACTCCCAAATGGGCAGTCCGCGCGCGTTGGCAGCGGCGACGATGACGATGACGACGACTCGAGCCGAGATGATGGACACATCCCGCGCGATCGTTCGCATTTCGAGCTGCCTGGTTGTCCTTGACGGGCGCCAAATTGCCAAACGGCTCTCGGTAATTCGTGTGTCAACGTGTAATGAAACGGGAAAAAGGTCGTCTAGCCTCGTCGATTAATTCGCTCGCCGTTACACGTCCAACGCCATTGGGGTATATAGACATACCCTCGGTACATAATTAAAAGTTCGGCTTATCCGAAGAGAAACGGAGGGGGCGAACAGTTAATTGGCAAAGAACGCAATCATTCGAGTTCTCTCACTCTCTCTTTCTCTCTGGCAGTGCTATTGAGAAATGTCAAGAGCCATCGATTCTCTTTTTTTCTGTTTGTTCCGCGAATTCTTGACCTATTGCCGGTTTAATTTGGAAAGCCACTCGACTCGGTTAGCTTTAATTGATAGAATAGATAGTTCAGTGTGTCAATTAGGTTTGTGCCAGGGGTCATTGATAATGCAGGTTGACGCCAGTTCGATAATTAACTGTCTTTCGAACCCACGGTCTCTCATAAAGCCGTGCAATTTTAATGCGCGGCCCGCTCGTGTCTCCGACGTGCAATCCGATTGCGATTGCTTTCTTCGATGGGTCATTCTGACGAAAGCTCCAATCGAATTTCTTAAGACTTTTGCAGGCTGTGCCTCGCGATCTAGAAACGGAAAAGGGAGCTGCTTGTCGCGGTGCAGTACATTTCGTAAAAGAACGGGAAAATATGGCATCCAACTGTAGTGGCCTTAGTGTCAACAATCACAAAAAGCTCTCCTCTTCGCTTTTTTCTTTTGTCACTGTTGCCGTCAAAATTCAGTTCAGACATTTTAGGAGCTTTCGCCCAACGAATTCAAGCCGCTCGCGCAAAAAGCAAATAAAAGACGCGACACCTTGGAAAACGAGACACCGTTCTCTCGAAAAACCTGTTATGTCGCGCGTCGTCGTCCGGGGATGCCGAGGGTGAGAGAGACCGGGGAGGCGAGAGAAGGGAAAAACGAGGTCAAGGGTGATTAAGAACTCGCCAAAGCTATATATCGCGAGGCGTGTATGTATAATGCACAGAGGTCAATGGGATTCAGAGGCGTGTCCTTGTCTCTCGCCGGATTTCTCTCGCAGTATCGGTGAATTACGACGAACCTGCTCGTTATTAGCCGAATGTATTCGGCTGGGCGTCGAAAGCGCGCTTTGACTAGATTTTTAAACGGACGAAATTGCTACGAACGATCGGAGCACAGGAGACTCGAGAAGCCGTCGTCGATCAGTTCTCCATACTGCAACTATAAATCGCGAGAGAAAGAACCAGCGCTACTAATCGACGAGCACGCCAATCATCTCTAACGAAAAAATATCATGCCCTAAAAAAAAAGAAAAAAAACTGTCGTTGCGCTTGCTCTCTCGTGTACGGAGCCGTAATAACAGTCGAGTCGGGACGCTCGTAAATATTGATTTT